AAACGCGTAAGAGGGCAATGCCACCGACTGTATCACAACAGAAGACTTCGCTCCAGGGCTTCTTCCAAAATAAAGCACCTTCTCCGAGCTGCACTGCTCCATTTGAGACTGCAAACAAGATTCCACACCAGGTGATGCCGCTGACCGTCAGTCTATAGGGTGAGTGCTTAGGAAGTGCTTAAATATGGCATTATACGTGACAACTGCTCAACAAATTTGTCCACAGAAGTAAATTAATGAGCATGACAAGACAAACCAACCCTCCCCCACACCAAATCATTGCTGGAAATGGATGTTGTCAGGTGTAGCCCAAGCCTTCATAAACAGGAAACAGCTGCTGGCAGGGCTGCCTGTAGATGCATGAGCAAAGAAGTTTCTTTAGCCCCTTTTACCAGGCAGTGTGGAAGACTGGTTGTCACAGTATGCCTCTGAATTTACTTACTGGAATAAAAAAAGCTTTAGAAGTAACCACAAGTTCAGAAACATAAGGGAGACAACAAACCTCCATCTTCATCTTTACAGAGCATTCCATTTAATTCAACCACTGGGAAATTTTATCTTCTGCTTAATCTGATCTAAACCTCTGTAACCATATCACCAGCAGTAAAAATAACCTAACTTCCACCCTTTATTTTAATCACTTCTGATAGCTACAAAGCAGCTCTTACTTGACAGTTTGGTCACAAGCAACAAAGCTGTCTTAATTAACAAAAAATTATTTATCTTTGGGCAACAAATAGTCCACAGAAAAAAGTTAAAAGCCTTATAAATAAATAAATTTCCAATAAATCTGAGTTATTCATACAATCTTTTATCACAAATACAACTGAATACTACAGAGAGCTGTGCTGGACACAGCGTTGCTGTCATGTGCACAACAAAATCAACCACGTCCATCATCCCGCACAGTGGAAATGGAGTCAGTCAAAATCCTTGTGCAAGTAATCAACCAACTTACAGAGGAGTTTTGACTTTGGGAAGTACCAAGTTTTAAGAATCAGTTTTGTACTGAGTGAGTTCTTTCCTTGCATCAGTGTGACCACCCTTCTACTTCATGGCTTTTGCCATCTGCCCAGCTACTCAACACTGCCACAGAGCTGCTCTCCCTCTGCTCTCCGTCCAGCCACACAGCCTTCCGTCTTCTGCAGCGGAACTCTGCTGACACCTTCCATCTTAAAAACCCAGCAGAAAATTAACTTCAGAGTAACAACAGTTTTGGGGTGCAGAGGCATGGCAGGGGGCAGAACATGACTACAGGATTAGAAAGGCAGGAATGGAAAACCTGAGACGCCAAAAGCCATGCTCTGCGTTATTCCAGTCAGTCACACACCACCAAACCTCTCTCGGTGAAGCCGGTTAACTAACCAGAGCTTTGCGCCTTATCTGCTATTTATCCAAGCTGCAAAAATTCAGTAGATACTTGCTGGGCCACAGCAAAGGATTCATTCTAAGTCCAGCAGAAAGAGGAACATGGTCTGGACCTGGGTCTTCCACCTCCCTTGGAAGGGCCTCTTGGATTAGCAGCCAGCCACGTTACAGAGGCTTCCTCCTGCTCATCACTTGCCAGCAAGAGATGGGTGGGGCAGACGACACTTCATAAGGTTCTGGCCAAAATGTAATTGTTTTGGCCAGACTTTGGGTTTGACACATCAATGTTTTCTGAAAAATACTTTATCGTGGAGTTCCTACGCAGCTCTAGCACCCTATATATCAGGCAGAAACTCCTCCTCGGTTTCACAGAGCCAACAATAAGCAAACTTCCCCCGCAAATCTCAGAAATGCTCAGCAGTGCAGTACAGCTGCTTTAATCGGGCATTTCCTACAAACTGCCAGGGACAAACAGGCAATGAAGTGGTGCAGGTGGAGCTTAGCTGTCTATAAATAAGAGCACAGTTTGATCTTTGGCTCTGCTGAGGCTGGAGGGCTGCCAAATGAGTCTGGAAACTTGGATGGAACAGAACAAGAACAAATATGATAAAATGAGCTGAGACTGACAATGATTTATAGAGTTAATGATCATTATTCTGTACTCACAGTTTGCACTTTTGGAGTAAAGTTTCACTTTCAATAAACTTTGCTTTTTCTTATCCATGAGGCCCTATTCTCTATGATTTAACACGGACTGCTCAACCAAACACCCTGCGCTGCAGCAGCTACGGCATTCGCAGCACAGTGCAGCTGATGGAAAAAAACAAGGAGACCGCAAAAAAAAGAAAAAAATCTACACAAAGAAGTGTTGGCACTGTGCAATTTAACCCTGAATGTGGGAAAGAATGTATGCAGAGAACACAGAGGTGAAAACAATATGAATACAAACTTACTAAGCGCAGGGCAGAGCGCTTGAAGTATTTGTTCCGACAGTCAGTTCCCCAAACAAAACTCCCTTTCCCGACAAGATAACTGTAAAACTTCTCAGGAAGCTGTGTTCTGGGCTTTTTACTCATCCTCTCCTTTGCTTCACTGCCGGTGTTAGCACATGATCCTCTTCCACTCCACGCCTTCAGGCAGTCTCCTTACCACAAAGGTTCTTTGTTGGATTTCCGAATAAGCCTACTTTAATACAGGTTTACATGGCCTGGCCCACCCCTAATCCAGCTCTTGCGAAAAGGTTTACATAAGGAGAGAGCAAGCACGCATATTTCACTGGAATAACTCCCTGCAAGGCTTCCAGAGAAACCAGAGCTTTAAAAAAAGTCTCTCCAGCTATTGTCTGAATAATTAAAAAATGCTAAGAGACCACAAAAGTTTCACCCATTATTAACCAGTTTTAATCTATAGCACCAATGCCAACTGTGTAAGTAGCTTGACAAAAATCACAAAATTATTTTTATTTACTTTTTCAAATACTTTACCAATTAGCTAATTAGCTTAAGAATTCATTCATTCAAAGGGGGAAAAAAAACCAAGACACCAAAAAACTTTTCTCTTGTCACTTTTGTCACTGTTACATGAGCAACACTGTCTTGTACCGTATCAGATTTTTTTCATTTACACACCTGGTAAGTTTACCTGACAATCTCAATTTCTATCCCCGTTTATTCCAATATGGTACATGAGAGAGAAGCAGCTTTTCCAACAGTGAAAGGTAAAAACCGTAAGCGAGTCTGAAGCTCTTCTGTGATAAATATTTTATCATAACTAACTTCCAATCACCTGATTTTCTATTTTAGTGCACAGTGCAGCCTAATTACTGAGCTAGGAAATCTAACATTTTTCCATTTTCACAAACCCAGACGTGCCTAGTCAGCTTGCTGAAGAGGTGCTGCCTTCCTACGTGTTGCATTTCGCATAAATCTATCCTGTTAAGCACAATTAACAGCAGCATTAAAATGCAAAATATTTTTCGGATGTAATCCAAGTGAACTTGTTCAGCATTTCTCCCGGGTACTGAAAACGCACGAGTTCTGCCTTTTTTTGTTGATGCTTTGGGTTTTTTTTGGGGGGGGTTTGTTTTGTGTAGTGCTTGTGTGCCAGCTTAAGCTGCAAGGTCTCATGAACAAAGGGCTGTAATGCAGCAGCATCTGGAACCCAAACGCTGCCAGAAAATGCATCCCATGTTGAATGCAACAATTAAGAATCTGTTTGTTTACACAGTGTTGGCAAATTAAGAATCCATAATTTGCTCCCAACTTCCCATGATCTGTTTTGGTTTAGAACCCTATGGAAAACTTTTATAAGCACAGTTGCATTTGTACCAAATGTATAAAAACTCAGCCAGTAGAAACCTCACAACTGCCGCAATTTAACTCCAGAATGAACCACAAGAAGCACCTTCGCTTCACTAATTCTTTACACAGTTACTGTCTCCCCCAAGTTCTGGAAAAATACCCAGCAATAAAAAACCCGCGGTCCATTTGACTGGGAAGTGCTTTCTCAGCAACATGCCCTCTCTGTCAACTACAGCTCTCATGAAGGAGTGTCTTTCTCAGGTCAAAGTCATTTTTTCCCCCACGAATCAGAGCAGTATCTTTTAGTAGGCTACCGACAACTGTAAGACTTCAGTCCAAAGCCATACACACCACAAACCTCAACCTCTGAAGAATGACCTGTTTACGTGCTCCTTCCCTGCCTGCACCACAGCCCCAAACCTAGGAAGCCCACCTACCAGCACACGCCAGAACAGCAGCACTGGGACTACAAATTGTGTAAGCTGATGTGACTTGCAGCGCACCAGGACGTTAAATTGCAGTAGCCCAAACCCCTCAGTGACTGCAGGTCCGTAACCGTGAGGACCCAGCACTGCACTGCGTATTTGCGGCCTGCCCCAAATTCATCATGTCCATATGCTACTTCGGGAGCTACTTGTAAGATGGATGCACTGTTTCCAGGACAGTTTTGGAGCCTGACAATTTCTACATACATTAAAGTGAACGTGGATGGCATGGCTAAATCCCAGCTTTCAGATTAATCTATTTTTGGTCTGCTCTTTGTCAAAGATTCATCCATCAGGAACTATGCCAGTAAATGCTTTCTAATACTCCGTACGAGGGGAAGAAGGGGCTTAATCTCAAAGTCTGTTCAGGAGAGACACTGATATCCAACCTCCCCTTAGCCAACTTGAGCTGACACTGTAAGCTTCCTCCGATACCCACAGGAAAAAAACCAGGGACTATACTTTGTATGCCTTTTACATCTCGTCCTACTCCAATTAATGAATGTGGCCAGCCTTCCTGGAGGTGAAACTGAAAGTGAAATTTAGAGTCCAGAAGTTTTGCTGTTCATTTACCCTACAGCATCCTCTCAAAAACAGTCACTTGGTCTTCTCCTCTCCTCTTCTACTATTAGAACGGTATCTTCCCCAGTCTAATAAAGCTCTGCACATCAAACAAAGGCCTGCTAACAGAATTGTGCAACAATTTATCCCATGCAACAAATTATTTTCCCTTCTTCTTTCCCCTAAAGATAACCTCTTTAGAAAAAGAAAGAAAGAAAAAAAAAAAGAAAAAAGCAAGAGAAGCAACATGAACTATAAAGCTCAAGGGAATAAATCGTTTCCCTACCACTTCATCTTCGGTCCAACACTTCTCAATCAGTTTTGGCACAGGTTTCTTCACCAAGCGCTGCAGGGCTTTTCCAGCATCATAGTTACTTTCATGTAGCTAAAAAATAAAGAAGACAAATAGATCATTCAACGGAATTAGCAGTGATCTGATATTGGAGAAAAACCACTAAAGGGGGCCACCTGAGATGTTCTATTCGTAATTCTTTTTGCTGTTGATCTATGAAGTGAAATTTAAACAACCTGAAGGATAATTGAAGTTTATTAGTAGAAGAAACAGCATTAAAACAAGTATGTTTCCCCCTTCCCTCCTAGACTTATCCCATATAATGTTTGAGCCCATAAAACACTGAAGATTTTTTGGTTAACTTTACAAATATTTTTTGCATTAGAAATTCCAAGGAAAATTTTTATAAGCTCCAAGAATACATTTTTCAGAAGGAGTTGTATTTTATGCAGCATATTTTGTTCAGATTAGTAAAACCAAGTGGAAAAACTACCATACAGGAGGGATTGCAAGCCATAGGATGTGAAGATTACCCATCCAGAAAATTCTTTTTATTTTTATTGCACTGCAAAGATCACCATGTTGTTAGAAAACAAGTATGGAAAAGAAACAAAAGCCCTACAGATAGCTACAGGAGTACATAAAAGCAACTGGGAATGTCTAAGTTGACATTACTGTTTCAGCTGGTCACAGCCTACAGTGTACCTTATTTTCTACCACAAACTCGGTATCTACATGATCAAAAGGTATCTGAGGTAGACAGCAGACATTTAAATCACTGTGAGGTAGGAAAACAACTACACTGGAAAATATTATTCAGCAAGGAACCCATGAGAATCTCCGCCTCTTAACTCTTGACAGAAAACACTTAGCACGTTGTAGATTTATAGCCTGTCCTCTCTTCAAAGTACAGTGGGATTTTAAGAACTGAAGGACTAGTCAGGAGCCTGCTCTATGTCTTCTGAAAATGATCTAAAAGAAAAAGAAATATTGCTGGGATGACAAAAACGGAATTATCCTCCTACACCCAAAGGGAGAATGATTCGCATGCAACCTTCCCTACGCAGACAAGAGGCAGCTTTTCTAAACAAGGTGCTAAGCAAACCAAAGCTTCAAAGCTTTCGATCAGCATCGCAGGATTTGAGAGACCCTCAAAAGATTCTTTACAACAGGGACAACTAAAATTTGATTCTGTACATTGATTATCTCCTGCTCTTCCTTCCTACCCAGAACTCACCCATCTGCATGCCACCCTAGAAGCATCTGTGCTGCTAGACTTCTGCTTAATCACTCCCAGAAAACATTTCAGCAACCACTACAATTCTTGAACTTGCCCCAAGACCGATGGACTGAATAGGGATCAAGATAAAATTACTGAACAGCGACAAGATATTAACTACTTTGTCACTATTAAGTTATAATAAAACCTAATTACAAGAGGAAAACATTTCTAATTTTTTTCATGTAAACAGGCTTAAATTTTAGAACAGAATTCTGCTTCAAATAAAAATAGCAAGATTGCTTTCTTCCTGCTGCTCACTTAGCTCTGTACATCTCTCCACCAATTCCTAAGTACTGATTCTGTACATGTGACAGTGATCAGACCCCTCTACCCTCGGGCCACCTCCTAGCAATACTTCTTTTTCCTTTTATTGCTTCTTTTGTCTGGTCTTAACTCAGACTGCAAGCTCTCTGGTGCACGGGAATGCCCTGCATCCGTACTGCATCCAGTAGCGTGATTCAGAGACTTCTACAAGCTGTAAGTAAATGACTCAAATTTACTTCCATTAAGTAGGTCTAAGTGATTTCTACTAAGAAATAAAGGCAGACAAGAATCAAGACAGAAGCGAAGGGAAAAAACAAATCACTGGCCCTACAGAAAACGTTTTTAGGGAGACTATAACACAAATCTGTTTCCACTGAAAGCCAGCTTTGTCCAGTTCTCCCAATAAACACTCTGTGAAAGGTGTGTGCGTTGGCTTTTGAAAGCCACCACACAACTTACAGCAGGAAGAAAGTCAGATGGCAACTTTGATTGCTATGATGACATTCCCAGCAAAACACACACATGCGTGCATACATACATGTATTATAAACATACATATAATGTGCTGCTTTAACGCTGAAACACTGTTGGATCTAGGTTTTCGATGGGACAAGCCCACAGTAAGCAAGCCGGCGTGGCTCCAGAGCCGTGGTACTCCTGCGAAGGACAGAGCAGAACATCCACCAAGTCTTCAGGAGCTGCAGCAGAACTTGCCAAAAGCTGGGGAATGGAAAGCAAAGCTCTGCACTCCGTACAGGACTCGGGCAGCTGGGGGAAGACAGCACATCTGCAAGGGCTGGGGCAAAGCAGCCTTCACTTCCACTTCCCGGCTCTGTCAACTCCGGTTTCAAACAGCTCGCGCGTCACTGAGTACGCTGCTTTTCTGCAGAACAGGGTTCACTTTTCCAGTAACAGCCACACCATAACCGGACGGGGAATTGCAGAGAACAGAAAGTGCCCATTTCTCACAAGGCACTGCGGTCTGTCATACTGGGGCACTTTGTGAAATGGTGGATTCTGGATACCACGGATCGTGCATTGCCATCTTCCCATCTATTTTATTAGCATCTCAGTTTTCAGGGCGTGAATGCCGCAGAATGGATTGTGACAGTCTACAAAGCCAACCCATTTGCAGTACAAAGCGCACCAGAAATTACTTTGTTTTCCTCAGTGAAGTCCCTGCACATGAACCTCAGTGTATTAAAAATAACAGCTAATCTATTCCATTTGCTGATGAAATTTCAGTTCCATGTAATTTTGAGCCTCCTTTACAACACCTGAAGAGCCGAGTTTCCAGAAACCTGTTTGATCACCATTTGTTACTAAACACCTCAAACAGCCCGTCTGAGGTCCAGAAAAGCAGAGGACCAGTTAGCTGCAAAAGCAGAGGTGCACAGCCCTCTGGAAAATCCGGCCACGCTCAGCAGTCACCCCACACACCTCCTACTGACAGGGATGAACATGTTATCAGCTGGGTTGAAGGAGAAATTAATACATTACGGGTTACACCTCACACAAATGGGCTTGAATCTCCCACCATCAGTAGGAACGGATCTCGAACTGATGAATCAGAGGTTGGAAAAGACCTCTAAGATCATCAGGTCCAACCATCAACCCAACACCACCGTGCCTGCTAAACCATGTCCTGAAGTGCCACATCTACATGTTTTCTGAACGCCTCCAGGGACGGGGACTCCACACCACTGCCCTGGGCAGCCTGGTCCAGTCCCTGACCACTGCAGGTACTCTTCCACCTCCACCAAATTATTGGAGCATTCAAAATTTATTTATACTTGAGGGACTTATAAAGAAAGTGAAGTATTTCTGAAAATAGAAGGTCACTACTGGGCAAAGGCCTCTGATCATTACCTACAATGTGTTTTTAGAACAAACGGTAACGTTCCCTTACCAGGCAGCCTGAACACCCTTTTTCCCTGACCAACAACTAGGACAACAATCACATACAGGGTGTTACTGCAGTAAAACCGGTGCCTGGCTAATATAACGGGACCAAGAAAGAAAACTAAGCCAGAGTGGTTTTCAATTCACTTTCAGCTTTCTATATGGCACCTACTGGGAAGTAACAGATACCCTGTGTACTAATTATAACTATACGCACCTTTGCAGAGTAACCATAGAAAACAATGCTTGTCCAAAAAATAATCCGCCGCCTCCTCCAGCTGTCTGATCTCTGCAAGCTGCTGCTACGAGGTGCACGGACACATCGGGGCCATGGCGAGCACACCGGGGAGAGGCACAACCCCACGTAGCTTAGCAGAACCACTGCTCTTAAACCCGTCTCCCCAGGTGAAGCTCCCCAACATGTAACAGGACAACGGCTTGTAAACCTGCCAGCTCCCGCGCCTTCACCTCCACGCAAGCGAGACAACGAGCTCAGGCCGTCTGACGTCAGCCAGAAGCCACGGGAGAAGAGCAGACAGCCAGCCTCGCAGTGCCGGTGCGCAACGCCACGACTCAATCAACACCACTGACTTCGAACTTGAACTTGTTTTTTTAAGACTCCTGTGGTATGCAATACCTACTTAAAGGCATGAAAATAAGATGTTGGCTTTTCTACTGGGTACACATTAATTTTTCTCCTTGTTTGCACTCCAGCACTGGGAACAGATCCATCTTCAAGAAAAAAGGACTGTTTGTTTTGCCAGCTCACTTTGCAAATGCTTTTTTCTGTGCACGTCACTACCTAAAAGATTTTTCACTTAGGAAGTCTGACAGTGTTGAAGAGAATAGGGCTTCTGTTTCTTTTCCCTCTCTACTCCTCTCAAAACATGCAGTAATGCCAAAGCCTCTTGGTAACTTGGAGGGCATCTTCATTCTACCTCAAGGACAACACATGTTTTTCCCTGGCAGCCCTATTGCCCAAACAGTTCAATCTGCAAAAAATCAGAGAAGTCCAGAAAGAATGGACTGGTTTAACAGGCAACCACTCTGGTTAATGAAAAAAATAGCAGAGTTTACAGGCCATCAGAACTGTCCCAAATCAACAACATAAAATATGAGCATTCATTTTTGACCAAATAATTACATCAATAACAATCACAAAACCCATCAGCACAGATGTGAAAAAGAGTCATACAACAGAGAAGACACAGATGTGAAAAGAAGAGACCCGATACAGGTTTAGTGTCTCCTTAAAAAGGAGAGCTTAAAAGGCCAGCTTAAAAACTTTTATTTTTTCCCCCTAAGCCCCAGGAGTAGGACAGTGCAGCAAAAAGAAAAAATATTTTTTCTTAAGTGCCAGAGTTAAATTTATGTGTTACAATCTGGCTCATTCTCTGCTTATTACTTTCGGTCATTTAACACACGTAAGCAGTTTATCAGCAAGCAACTCAAACGTATAAATAATAGCTAATGATGACTGCCTACGGTTTCATTAACTTCTGGTTGAACTTCTCAAGGTATCGCTGTAAGTGCCAGATTACTGTCCTGTCACCCAAGGAATCGCCATTTTTAGCATTAACTCTGCCATCTAAATTTTGAACCGCTGTGACATTATGTACGTCTACAACTGCAACAAAAGGAATTA